GTAGTCTTCTTTCCTCTTCCCCTGGTCTTCTTTCCTCTTCCCCTAGTCTTCTTTCCTCTTCCCCTAGTCTTCTTTCCTCTTCCCGTAGTCTTAGTCTTCTTTCCTCTTCCCCTAGTCTTCTCTTCCCCTAGTTTTGTTTCCTCTTCCCCTAGTCTTCTTTCCTCTTCCCCTAGTCTTCTCTTCCCCTAGTCTTCTTTCCTCTTCCCCTAGTCTTCTTTCCTCTTCCCCTAGTCTTCTTTCCTCTTCCCCGCACAAGCGATTTTTTTGAGCCCAAAAATCGCTTTTTGCTTTCGGGAGGCCCCAGGCTGAGCAAAAGCGATTTTTTGATCCCAAAAATCGCTTTTTGCTTTCGGGAGGCCCCAGGCTGAGCAAAAGCGATTTTTTGATCCCAAAAAACGCTTTTTGCTTTCGGGAGGCCCCAGGCTGAGCAAAAGCGATTTTTGGAGCCCAAAAATCGCTTTTTGCTTTCGGGAGGCCCCAGGCTGAGCAAAAAGCGATTTTCGGGCTCAAAAAATCGCTTTTTGCTTTCGGGAAGCTGCAGGCTGAGCAAAACAATTTTTTGAGCCCAAAAATCGCTTTTTGCTTTCGGGAGGCTCCAGGCTGAGCAAAAGCGATTTTTTGAGCCCAAAAATCGCTTTTTGCTTTCGGGAGCAGCAAAAGCGATTTTTGGAGCCCAAAAATCGCTTTTTGCTTTCGGGAGGCCCCAGGCTGAGCAAAAGCGATTTTTGGATTTTTGCTTTCGGGAGGCCCCAGGCTGAGCAAAAGCGATTTTTTGGAGCCCAAAAATCGCTTTTTGCTTTCGGGAAGCTGCAGGCTGAGCAAAAGCGATTTTTGGAGCCCAAAAATCGCTTTTGCTTTCGGGAGGCCCCAGGCTGAGCAAAAGCGATTTTTGGAGCCCAAAAAATCGCTTTTTGCTTTCGGGAAGCTGCAGGCTGAGCAAAAGCGATTTTTGGAGCCCAAAAATCGCTTTTGCTTTCGGGAGGCCCCAGGCTGAGCAAAAGCGATTTTTGGAGCCCAAAAAATCGCTTTTTGCTTTCGGGAAGCTGCAGGCTGAGCAAAAGCGATTTTTGGAGCCCAAAAATCGCTTTTGCTTTCGGGAGGCCCCAGGCTGAGCAAAAGCGATTTTTGGAGCCCAAAAAATCGCTTTTTGCTTTCGGGAGGCCCCAGGCTGAGCAAAAGCGATTTTTTGAGCCCAAAAATCGCTTTTTGCTTTCGGGAGGCCCCAGCTGAGCAAAAGCGATTTTTTGAGCCCAAAAATCGCTTTTTGCTTTCGGGAGGCCCCAGGCTGAGCAAAAGCGATTTTTGGAGCCCAAAAATCGCTTTTTGCTTTCGGGAGGCCCCAGGCTGAGCAAAAGCGATTTTTTGAGCCCAAAAATCGCTTTTTGCTTTCGGGAGGCCCCAGGCTGAGCAAAAGCGATTTTTGGAGCCCAAAAATCGCTTTTTGCTTTTGGGAGGGGCCCAGGCTGAGCAAAAGCGATTTTTGGAGCCCAAGAATCGCTTTTTGCTTTCGGGAGGCCCCAGGCTGAGCAAAAGCGATTTTTTGAGCCCAAAAAACGCTTTTTGCTTTCGGGAGGCCCCCAGGCTGAGCAATCGGGAGGCCCCAAAGCGATTTCCTGTCGTGGGGTGAAAGAACAAAAATTGTCGGGGGGTGGATGGGTTTCTTGTCGGGGGGTGGGTTTTGGGTTGCTTGTCGGGGTTCGGGCGCGCCCTCGAAGAGGCACCATGCGGGAGGGTGCAGGCAGTTGTTGCAGATTGGCAAGAGTCTGGGTTCCTCATGTGTTGCACCTTTGTTATTGGAGCTGTTTTTTGTGGCAAACAGGCAGTGATTCTCAGGAAGGAGGGCAGCCAGATGCTGGATGATGCTGGGGATGCTGGGGATGCTGATTCTTTGAGATGAGACGTTACACACACGTTTTCTCATGACGATGATGATGATGCTGACGATGCTGCTGGTGCTGATGATCATGCCGATGCTCGCTGTTGCCATCATGCCCTTCGCGTCAGCTTCGTGTTTGTTGCCAGGGCGGTGATCGCGCAGCCTCGAAGGCCTGCGATGCAGGCTGGCCGAGGAATAGGATCAACCAGCCTTGGGACGGTCTTAAGGGCAAAATATACTGGTCTACGTTTGTTCAAAAGCAGATTGCTTCTTTTGTGTCTTGACACAAAAGAAACATGAACCGAGTGGTGCGTGCTTAGAGTGAAAGGAATCCAATGATCTGAAGCGATCCCGGATTGCCTAGGTGCCTGGATCCTAGGAATCCTAGGAGAGTACGTAAGTACTCCATGATCAGGGTGGGTGAACCTTTCTCAAACCTTTGCTGAGCCTTTCCGGTTTTTTGGTGAATCTGGATGGCAGTCATCATCAATGTCATTAGCAGCATCATCGTAAGCACCAGCACAAGCACAAGCACAAGCACTAGCATCATCATCATCATCATCATCATCATCATCATCATCATCATCATCATCATCATCATCATCATCATCATCATCATCATCATCACTATCATCATCATGATCATCATCATCATCATGATCATCATCATCATCATCATGATGATGATTATCATCATGATCATCATGATCATCATGATCATCATCATGATCATCATCATGATCATCATCATCATCATCATCATCATCATCATCATCATCATCATCATGATCATCATCATGATCATAATCATCGTTGTTATCGTCACTCATCATTGCTTGATGAATCGTGACCATCATCGTGATCGTCATCGTCTACCGTCATTTTCATCGTCGTCATCAACATCGTCATCGTCATCATCATCATCATCATCGTCATCATCATCCTCATCATCAGCATCGTCATCATCATTATCGCCATCATGTTCATCGTCGTCGTCATCATCGTCATCATCGTCATCATCTCCACTAGTCGGGAGTCAGGGTCGCCCATTGGGCAACGTGTAGTATCACACAAAAGCCCTGCAGGAAGGGCGCAGAAGCAGAGAGCCTCATGTGGCTGTCCTCTTCATGCGTCGGGACTTGCTATGGATGTTGGGCTGCTAAAAGTAGGATGGGTATGATGAAGATTCCTTCCGGGTTGTACACATGCGTATGAATAGATTGACACGACAAAACACATAATTATTTGCATACCTACATATTCACATATTAACCCATATTTCTTCTTTTTGTGTAAGGGAGTTTCTCCAGCCAAACGTTGCCAGGCGCTACGGGATGGAGCCCAGGCTTGGTCCAGCTCCTTTGCATTCCTTTGTCGGCAGCTCGGTCACTTGCGAGGTGCCAGGAGGCCGAACAAAGCAAGGCAACGGGAGATTGCGCTTGTTTGTTCCGTGCGATTCTTGGCACTTCCACCTCGGAAACAGAGTTTATTTCACGTGCTTTTGTTTTTGATCTGGAATTGACATTTGTATTTTTCTTCTTTTCTTTCATTTGTTTTTTTTTCTTTCATTTTCTCTTGAACAACGATCTCTTCCTTCTATTGAGTCAGACTCACATGCTGTGAGCTGGCTGCGGGGCTTGTGGCGTCCGTGTCCCGATAAGACTGAGTACAGCCAGGTGACTAAGCAGCAGGGTGTGCGTACACTCTTGAAACAAATCTTGGGTTGTGCTTCTTGACTACCCTTCCTTCCACTAACATGGCACCGAACAGGGGATGCCTTTCAGACCAAACTTATCTTTCTGATAATCTTGCATGATCCTACATTTTTTGAACATATCCAAACTCACATTCTCGCGCAGTGCTTAAGGGCTGCATATTCTTCCACAGGCCAGCTGGCTCGCGGCTCAGGTGCTGTGACTGCCGCCAATGGTGCAGGGCACCCAGAGGCAACTACGATCCAGCCGGTTGGAAGATATTTTGGTGTAAACCGACCCCTTCAGATCCTTCAAAAGGAAACAACCTTCACGGAGGCTAGTCCAAAGTCCAGCGGACACATGCCACTTAAGCTCTCTGCAAAATGCCCAAACCAACCCTACCCCTCGGATCATCCTCAACCAACACCTCCAATTCATCCTTGCCCAAACACGGCAGCCCTACACCATCCCAAACCAAGCATATAAATGAAGACAAAGCCATTTGTAGACTCGCCTAAAGCAACCCCTATCATTCTAAGCCAACGCTAGACTGACCACAAACCAATCCACCACCTCGGGCCAACCCTAAACAAGTCCGGAGCCCACTCAAAATCAACTTGGAACCCAACCCAACATCCCTAATCCAGCCGGCAAAAGCCGCTCGAAACCCACTCCGTGTGGGCCACGAGGTCAATCACGCCCGTCGAATCGAAACCCACCGTGCGAAGGCAGCGGACGGTCGTGGGGAGGGACCAATGAAACTCGCTATTCTGGATCCAGCCCGTGCACGGGGGTGTGCACAAAGCAGAGACAATCATGTGATTGGAGTCTTCAAGCCATGCTGTCCAACAAGTTCTCAGCTTAGCAACATTCGGAAACGAACAATATTCGCATCAACACCACTCCACGTGTCATTAGAAGCGGATTGGCAGTAGGTCTCGCAGAAACAAATCCCCTCGCGGATCTCAAATAAATTATTCGTGCAGAAGACAAAGTTGGCACTTTTAATACCCTTGTGCGGGGTTGACCCTGATTATTGGCCGTCAATCGGAACTGCCATAATTTTGCAACGTGGAATTTAGACAATCACCTGCTTGTCCCAGGCCGACCTTTTGACGTTTCAGCTTTCCAGGGTTGCCGGGTTGCCTTATTCGAGTGTCCCACAACTTCATGACTGCCACTACAAAAGGACCACAGACTGATGCTTGGCTCTTGGGTGACGTCCTAGCTCTTGCAAGAAAGAGGCAAGCCTGCAGTAAAAGGGATTGCTTTACTCAGTTTCCTACCCGGCGCAGCAAAGCGGCACTCGCTGATGCGCGGCGTGTTGCACAGGCTAGCTGGTGTGTCAGGGGCTTAGTGGCACACAAAAATGCAAAAATTGGCCAACCCAAGGCGCACGCGCAATTGTGCCAACCACTAAGCATTGACTGCGCAGCTTCAGTTGTAGGCGCGCATCATCAACAAGATAGGCAAAGTTACCATCACGCACCAGCTACAGAACTTGATTTTCTCTGGTGAGCAATGGAATGCGATCTTGTCGTTGAGAGCTAAATTCTGCAAAAGAGCGCCATAAATCTTGCTGCGGAAAGCTGCACAATTTCTGGCCGACTGCTTTGCCTATGATGCTGCCGAATTCGGCCACACCAAGCAGAAAGCACCATCACACCGTTCACACATCAAGTCAACTTCAAGCCCTTGGGCAGCAGAGGAGCTCCAGGGCACGCCGTGATTTGCCGGCATTGCATTCGATGGCTTGCCACACGAGGCCAGATGCGCGTTGGCAAAGTCTAGGGCATGCGCCCCTTGCCGCCTGGTGCCGCCAGTCTGTACGAAGAAACACACTACACGGCTGACTGCACACAATGTTGTGTACAACCTGCGCTTTCCCAATCCACAATTTGTCAACGTACTGTAGTCCACACGTGCGTGCAGCATCCACCGTCGCAGGTCTGGGACGTTCGGGTTAAAGCCTGAAGGGATGTGGAACAGGAGGGGTCCTGTAGCTTGAGCCTGTTGAGCACGGCAAGGCCTCTTCTTTGACCCCCCGTCAGCTTCTACTCATCAAGGTTATCCAATGCTCCCAGACGATCTTGGGGTGCTGCCAGCTGAGTGGGTGGGCGACTTTGAAAGACTCTTCGTGGAAATTGATCGCAATCCGAGCGGCCCGCTCCCACTCCACACCCACCACTGGATCAGACAGTACGACTCATCGTCCAGCACGGAGACGCGGTGCAAATCATGTTGCGATCAGCGCCTGGACCCGTGTTCGCTTCAAGATTCTAGGCTCCACATAATCAACATGCGGGTCGTACACTGCATGACAGGCTACGCTCAGACGACGGACACGGTTCTAGTGGCATAAGAGTTGCCTATGGCTGCGAACTAAAGTTTGGCACTGTGAGGTATCCCTTCATGGATGCTATGTAAATCCCACAAAAACTGGTTTGCGAGCATGGCCAGAATCTTCAGGGAAATCGGTGGGAAAACACATTATGCTACGTGATGTTTGTTGCTTTTTGTGTGGTAGTTCTTTTTTGTGGCTTTCGTGCACGAGAACTGTAGGGCTGCATGAAATCGGGTGTTGCACATTGTGTATGATTGATGAACAAATGGGCAGAGTTTAGTTTTCCAGATGATAACAAAAGGATTTTGCACACAAAAAGCTTGCCCAGAATCAGCGTAATTCTTTTTCTTGCTGGCATTTTGGGGGCTGCATGGGGTTCAGTAGTTGAAAGAACACTTCGCCCGGCCAAGGCCTCAAAGAAGCTCATTGTTCTCAGCTTTGCCCAGTTGGTGCATGTTGAAGCTCTAGACACCAAGGCTTGCAACAGACGGTTTGCCCTGCAGTGTATGGGATGCCTCAAGAGCTTGTCTTCAAGAGAAGGGTATATAATGGATGAGATGCTTTCCACTGGCTATTGTTGGGTATGTCTTTTCTTCGCTTTTCTTAGCACAGTTTGGTTTTTGTAGGGCTTTTGGTAGCTTTTCATACGCTGGCTTTGGCTAGGAGTTTCATGGTTTTATGTAGTTGTTTGACTTTTTTGGCGGGATGTCGAATGTGGCCCTATGGCACTGTTGATACTTGGCCTGGAGAGGATCACACGCAGCCGTGAGGCAGTGGCGCGCTTGCTTTTGTCAAGTGACCCAACATCCTTGTTGTCCGTTCTAGTAGGTGGTTCTACGGTCTGGCTTGATGGGAGTAGGGCCCGCATAAACCTTTATGACCATGTTGGTAGAACCCAAAGTCAATCGGCTTCGGCTGCTGCTCACTTGCGGTTTGCTGAGGTTCTGGGGTCACCAAAGCAGCGAACACCAAAGCAGTGCGCGCGAGGGTGATTTGCAAATGCTGAAAGCAGGGCTTGATTGGTGCATGTGTGATTGATGCTGGTTCTCAATGCATTCCTCCGTGATACACATTGATCAGGACAGTGCACTGACATCAACAGTTGCAGGACTCGTTTGAGACGGCCATTCTTGTCGGCCACTGTCATTCTGGGAGGGTCTTCATGCTTGTTAAGCGCTCGCAGCTTCCTTGCCGGTCATGTACAGCTTTTGCGTTGGCCACAGCCCGCCCCAAGCTTCTTCAGCCAGAGATTGGAAGGCGTAGCGCAGGCTGAATTATTTGTGGACCCTTCAGGATTGCCTCCTTGCTGTTGAAGGTCTCTCATGGAATGGACTTCTGAATGAGAAGCTGGCCTTGGTTTACCTGCCCCTCAGTTGTCTGGCGATCCTTCCGCAACTTTACTGAGCTCAAAGGACGCGCTCTTTTCACGTGGCCTTGGCATTGGGTTCCATTTGTCGTGTTTCAGGCCAGAGCAAGTGGTGTGATTCCTTTTTTCAAGCAATTGGCTGACCCTCTTTAGTTTCGCGATACCGTCCCAGTCCGCGTGGTTTGGCACGGTCCTTTGTAAGAAGCGGCGTCTCCGCAATCGCTGCCACCATGGCACCGATGTCAGGCGCGTTGCCGCAGGGCATGAGGTGCCAATTGGGATTTATCTAAGCTGACATCAATACTTGTTGTAATGTGCTGATTGAGTTCTCCCAGCCGTTCACGCGACAGGCGGAGTCCACACAGGGAAGTCTGAATGAGTTGGTTTATGGCCTCCGACCAGAGTTGTGGTCAAGCAAAAGAAGAACACAAACGTGGCTCGTGCTTTGCAGGCATCTGCCAGGGTCAGGCTGGCCGGCCGAGTTGGCGGTTAAGTGGAACTCCGCTCTCAAGTTCCGGTTGGGGAAGGGTCTCTTGGCCATGCCGTGATTTTGGTTGCCTCCAGGCGTCACGGGTTTTGCTGGTTCACTGGGGCCATTGCAAGACAACCTGCTTCTCAGGAATCATGAGAATTGGAGCCACCCCAACAAGGGCTTTGGAGTCTCCTTTGCGGCGTTTGTTTTTTTTGTGCCCTTTATTTTCTCTCAGAGGCTTCACGCGCCCCCCTTGTTTGTTCCATCTTACCGGATCAGTTTCTTTGCCTGAGAGTGCCAGGCTTCACAGCCCAAACCAGCTGACAAAGATAGTGGACACAAAGCGGAATCGCCTATACATAACTGTAGCCATAGTCTTGGCTAGGTTTGTGCAGTGCAGGCGCGCGCAGCGGTCGTGTCGGGCTCAGATCCAGAGGCCAGGTGAATTGAGACTCGATGTAAGATGTGCCATCAGAATGCCTGGTTGCTTGGGCAAGCCAATGATGCTTGCAATTTGCAAAGAATCCCTCATAAGTTCTGATTCGACTTGTCTGTCTTCCTGAGCTGCGCAGCGTTGCTGAGGCACGAGTAGCCGTCCTGGTGCGCTGACGGGGGAAGGGGGAGGGATGAACCATGTAGCCATGTGCCCGTTAGATTTGGGGCCGGGGTGGCGGGTTCTTGCCTCAAAAGGCTTGGACTCTAAACGCATTCTGATTCTGCTGTTCTTAGAGGGAAGCAAGGCTCAAACGCCACAAGGGCGAACCTCAGCGAACTGCAGAGCTTCTTGACTGCGGCGAATGCTCGTCTTGGAGCTCGAAAAGTGGGAAGATCTTCAGATGGAAAGGTGGATGGACCTATGCAAAGCCAGCGACCAGTTGGGGGCTCCAACTGTGGCCCGCGAAGGCTGGCGTGCTGCTGGCTGCCCGATGGATCAGACAGGGCCTTACTTTGTTTCAAGGCACACGTTGCTGAATTTTCTGAACAAATGTAAAGACACGAGCCACAAACTACGGCGCATTGCGGAGAACGCCTTGTTTCCGGTCTTTGTCCCAAGAGAATCCACAAGGGGTTTCCTTTCACCAGATTTTGATTTGGTCACTCCGAGGTCGTGATGCGATGTGCCGGCCTCAGAGCCGGGAAGTTCATGTGCCGTTTTGAGGGTACCCTGGTTTTAGAGGGAAACCAACAACAAAATGTTTGGGGTTTCCAATCTTCGATACAGACCCATTTGGCGCTAGGCAATTAACTACCCAGCACAAAGGTTAGTGCCCTTCTTAAGGACTGAAGACCAAGACGCGTAAGCTTTCCACGGGGTTTTGAGATGGGGTGCCTTTGCTGTTCCATATGGCATTTGTTTCGTTCGGTGTTTCCGGTTCAAGAGCTCAGTGCCTACATTCTTCCAATTCAATTTGTCACATCTACTTTGTACCCACGCCCCATGCTTTCTACAGGCTAGTTCTTGAACTTGTGAGCGCGGAGGGGCCAATCCTGTGCGACTGTTCTCCCCATATTTTCTACAGAAACTGTGAGCCGTGGCACACTTCCACGGTGTTTCGAATCCCGGACATGTGGATTGACACCCATTTTCAATGTGTTCAATGTGACAGCTCACAAAAAAGGACGGTGGCAAGAGAGCAACGAAACCCATTTTGGAGGGACCCCCACCCGCCCAACTTTGGACACCCCCGACTCGGCTTTCGGGGGTCGAGGCCAATGGAGACAGATTTCGTGCTGCCCTCCCCACGCCAGCCCTTGCCGAAGCCCCAGTGCTGCCTGGAAATGCGCTTGCCTGGTTCTAAAAGGGAACCTCCGCATTGGTGAAGGGCCCCCTATTTTTTGGGCACCCCAAAAGTTAAATAGAGACCATCCTTGCCTAAAACCAGTAGCGGACGGGATGTGTTGATGCAGCTTGACCCTTTGAAATGACGTCCAAGCATTGTGCCATCAGAAGCGACACTGCGGCGTGTGATGAAACGTGAAGGATAGGCTGACGTGAGTCATGCTGAGACAGTTCCTCCCTGCGACGGCATTGGGTGAGGGTTGCACCCCCAACTTATCATTCAACCTGCGCTTGTAGATGAAATGCTCTATGAGACGTGGAGAAGATGTCGCATGCTGTGCAGGGTTCTCCGTGCCGGGCCTCCCGCCAGCCAAGAAGCCAGATCCATCTTTTTGAGGGAATTGATCAATGATCATGTGTGTGTGAGATGTTCTGTGGCCTTTGCGATGAATGCAAACAAAAGGCAATGAGTGCCAAGTACTCTGCAGAAATCAGCTCCGTGACTGCTTTGGTTTGGCGACCCGATCCAAGTTTACCAGAGTTCCCGAATATGCCCCACAGGTACTGTTTTCAACAGGAATCCTCTCAGTTTCGGATGGTGATTGTTATGCGGCTTCCATGCTATACTCCCCTGCAAACTAACATGGAACCTAAAAGGGGAGTCGGGCAAAGGGATTCTCCTCTACAAACGATGTCTTTTTGGTGGAGTACTCTTGAATCTTCCTCACACTAGCCACATGCTTGATGTGACCTTCAGAGGCGCAATCCAAACCCAGAAAGTGACGGTTAGGGACAGTCCGAACCATATGGATGGGCTCCTTGATAGTGACTCATATGACTGCTTGAATCTTCGAGTGGCATGGCGCGGATGCGACTGTCAGGCCTATGACGGCGCCTGTGCAATCCACGCAGGCGGGAGAATGATTGTGCACTTCTCGCTGCCGGTCCTGCTAGAAGGAACATCCAGCAGACTGGATTCAGTCTTTTCTCTGTTTTTTTTGGGTGGGTGGGTGGGTGGGTGTTGGTGAGTTTTTTGCTTCAGCTACAGCTGGCTGCCCGTGCCAGGATTTTCCGCGGGATGGCCGTTCCGCACAGCGCTCAGGTGAGGCAGGAGGTCACATGCCGAATTCGATGAATCCGACCCAGGCGTGGTCCAGCTCCTTTGCGTTCCTTGGAATGTGTCCGCACCTCGGGACAGCTCGTAGAGTTGCGACCTCACCCTTGATGATTGGTTCCTGAGGGTGAAATTCCAGAAGATGAAGCCACAAGCTCTTCAATTCTACCCTTGTGGCCGGGTCTTTGGAGCACCCTTGTCTTCTAGGGGACCCTTATCTTGGACTGGTGCTGTATTTGTTACGGTTCTGCAGAGCTTGCAATAAGTTTCACGGCGAACAAAGGTCAGGGTTGAACAAAAACTACCCTACGTCTTTGGGCAAGTGAAGGTATACTCTTATTCCATGCCCTTCAGACTTCTTGACAATTTTGAGGTGCTGCCTGTGGTGTGCAGATCGTGTCCAGGGTCACACGCGGAGGCAAGTTCAGTGGAGCGCTCAGATGGTCGCCAGCCCCAAATCTTGCAAGCCTCACCTGCGTACCAAGACCGAAAGCCGAGCAAGCAGACGGATTGGAATCACCCGCGACTGGGCTATCGCATCAAAGGCACGCGGGTTGGGTAGCCATGATCCCTGGATCTTTGTGCCAAATGTGCGCGTTGTCCTGGTTGTATGCACTCAAAAATGAGACACCTGAGCTGTCGCGTGTTCGATAGTGCTGAGAAGGTCAGCTTTGCTGACCACAAAGGGATAGATACAAAGCCAAGCACATCCACGTTGTCTGGCAAGCTGAATGCCATGTACAAGTTCCGATATGATGTGCCCTTACCAACATCATGCTTGCTTAAGATGAGATGTGGGCCATTGCTTGAAGTTCCAAACATGTGTTGTTTTTTTCGTGATTTTGTTTACCCATGGACAGGTCGCGGTGAGTGCAAACAGCCAGCATCACCCTAATTATTTTTGGTCCCTTTGCTTTCAACGGTCTTGGATCCACCTCCAAACACATGACTCGTCCGGATATCCAAGTGACATTGCCACATTGTCCGGTTTTCAACAATGGCTGAGGGGGTCTCTGATATGGGTCTGAGTCAGGCCAATTAGGAATGTTGGGACACATACACACATACACAGAAACCAACACGACACCAGAAGGACTAGCCATTTGGATCTTATGCAAATCATATCAACTGCTCAGATTGGCGGTGGTTTTGCACCCTAGCAGGCTGGCCCCAATCCCAATAGGGTGTGTGCCTCACAGAGGTTCAGGGGGCCTCGTTTCTGTTCATTCGATGGCTGTCCAATGCTAGGCGCCCCTGGCTGGAACGGCTCCCCGCA